CCTTATCCTGTGAGAAAAGGATGGATCCTAGGGAGGAATTTGTATCCAGAGCCTGCAGAATGGGGTGATTGAGCACCGGCGGGGAGTTAAATGTTTCTGGAAGTGTGATCGGAAGGTATCCGCCACCTCGGCTGGGCATGTGGCAATCGATCCGTCTGGATTAGTGAGAGCAAACGGGCACAGAGAGGGTTTGCGCAAGCTACGGATGTATTTAAAGAAGAAAGGCTTATTGTTTTGAGCATTGGTAAGGATAGCTCTCTGGGTGTACCTCTGATGCTCCCGAATTTTGTGTCCGCAGAGGTTTCTAACTTCTTTAAAGGCATCTCCGTCGGCCGTGAGGCGAGTATGGATATATGTCGCAAAAAGCTTGGCCCTTGTATCTAACAGCCGGCGAATTGGGCGAGGGAGAGGAGGTTTGGCATTAGACGTGATTCGAATTCGGGGAACAAATTGCGAGTCTGCAAGAGAGATCACCTGTTCTATGTGCCTGTTGAGGCCATCAACAGACCTTTCAGAATAAGGGCAGATATGTAGTTGCAGAAACCGGTTTACAGTCTCAAAGTTTGTTCTTTTGAAGGAACAAACTAATCGAGTGTTATCGCTTAACAGATTCCAGGTTACTATACAGTCAAAAGTTAGTGAGACATGATCACTTTTACCAAGAGGGAAAGCTGGGTAATGACACCAACCTGGTATCTTTCTTTGGTGATGACTAGGTCTGGTAAAGATTGGGTATGTCCTTGTCGGAACCTGGTCGGAAAAGACACATGCTGCGTCCAGGATTTCGCGATAATAAGGTCAGCGAGAGGGCGACCGAGGGAGACGTCTGTCGAGAACGTGGTTTACGGCGAAGCGCTTGTTGAACAACGTGATATCGGATCCGTTGTCGATAAACGCCATCGCCTTCACCACTCCCCTGGGTGTTAATATACCCACTGATGTTACCCCGAGGCGTACCTGCTTGTCCGCCGATTGAGACAGTAGATATACACTGGGTTTTTGGGGTGCCGATAACTGGATTTCTCTTACAGAATGCAAGAGAGTATGTTGGCTTCCTTGATACCCCGTTTCCGTGCATCTGCTACGGTTCCTACAAGCGGCCGCACGATGTGAGCCGTTCAAACAGATAAAGCACGCACCATGTCTCTTGGCTGCGTCCCAGCGGTCCGGAACTGCTAGTTACGCAAGGTTCTCGCACGCGAATAACTCGTGGTTTAAACAACACATGGGGCATCTGGACGTGCCACGCTCCCCTGTTGTCGCATAGTTATTAGCGTTCCTAGAAACTCTCGGGATCTCATAGGTTCGCTTTTTGGTGTAATTTCTTTTTTCTCGCCTACTCTCGCTAGTGAGTTGTCCGAAGCAACTACTGGCGACTTTGGTACGGTTTTGGATGAATTCCCTTAGCTCGGTGAAGTTTGGTTCCCTTCCTAAACGGCCAATAATCACCGCCTTTTCTGCCCATCGCTACTGCGTCAGCCGACAGCCATCGTACTATTGCCTCTATGGTGTGTAGTGCGTTCAAATCAGCTTCGTAATTCATTTGAGTCAGGGCAATGAAACAGTTTTGCATCTTCATTACCAGTCTTAGTAACGATTCGGGCTCGTTTCTCGCTTTACGGTCGTCGGCTAGCATTCCGTCTATGAGTTTCCGTGCCACGTGAAACGGTTGGCCAAGCAGTACCTTCAGAAAGTCTTTTTCTTGGCTATACCCAATTTTGTTTGGCATCATCACACATCCTTCGATAGCGTCTCGTGTCTTTCTGCGGTAGTAATGCTTTAGATACAGGAATTTTTGCCCTGGATCGGCGACCCGACACTCGACGAAATTGTCAAATTCTCTAATAAATCTCCAGTAGTTGCTGATGTTCCCGTGGAATGGAGTTAGCCTATTTTGGGCAGGTCTATTGACATGTGGCGGTACATTACTTCAATCGGTGGTTAAGCCACTTCCAGCGTCAGTTTATTGGGCAGGGTTTGTTTTTCCGTCGTGGCATGCCTAGTCGAGCAAGGTTGCCTACACTCTGCTTCCCTAAGCTTAATTGACCTAATCTCCTACTCTAACTCTACAATCTTATGGATATATATCACACATCTTAACATCAGCATCACAATCTACGGCACAAACTCCCAGCGCTGACAGGAGTAACTGAATTAAAAATGTGAGAATCAGAACCGCCCCCCCCCAAATTCTCCAGTGATCTACCGGGTTACTTCCTGTCCTTCCTCCTCAATCTTTTCTTGTTCACTTGTTCCGAATTGAGCGAATTTGAGAACTGTGTCTCCCGAATAGATCAACGAGTAACGCGTACCCGACATCGGATCCAAAAGTTTCAACAAAACGAACGATCCAGCAAGTTTCTACGGTACTGCAATAATAAACGATCGAAGAAGTAAATAAAAACTGTACAAACCTCAAAGTGATCTCGAAACAACTTGAAAACAAGTGCCAAGTGTCACCGTCAGCGTAATTCAACAAATCTGAACGGAAGAAAATAAGCCTGGGTAAAAGCAGCACGCTCACAGTCACGCTGCACACGAACGAGCGGAATGTGAGCGCTTAGGTCGCGATTAAAACAAGCGGGGTACGAATGAAGCAGATAAACAAACAAAGTCAAATGGTAGGGTCGATGTGTAAGCATACCAAGGGAGTGGAATGTCAAATGTTAATGTATGTGTAAGGTGGGTGGTGTTGAGTAAATGGAACGTGAAATTTACGAAATGTGGAACGGAGAAAGATTGACTGGGCATTACAGGAAGGATTTTCACAGATCGATCAATACAAGGGTTACGTCATTCCAAAGCCCACAAAAGCCACGAATGATTGGGGTGAAAATGACTTGGGTACCATTGTCCGTGCCAGAAACAAGACCGACTATACAAATACAAATAGTAGATAGGGCACCTCTAGGTAACTGTACGCCTAAAATTGTGAAACAGCCAGGGGTGGGCCGTCTGAAAGTCGCTACAAATAGCAATGAGCCAAAGAAGGGATATCAAGAGAAACGACGCCTGATAAAACTAGTATGAATGATGCGCAGCGTCGGCTTCATTTGAAAGAAGAGAGCAAAACCACGCCCGAGGATCTGATGATAAATGCCCCGATCATCGTACCCACTTCGATGAAGAAAACCACTTCAAACACTAAAAGCCATAGGTCGGCCAGTTGGGCAATTTTTGTTGTGAATACGCCGACAACAAGGCTGAAATTATCAGTGCAAGATGAACTTAAGAAAGGTCAGTTACCGACTGCCTCAGAAGATGGAGCGAAGTACGACTTCATCGTCGAGGACATCAGAAGTAAGAATGAAAGCATTAAATAGGATGTAAAAGTGACTCCGAAATCACCCTCTCTTAAAGCACAATACTCGAATCTCCCTCGGGTCTTACGCCCAAAGCACACCAACGAGAAACAGCAGGAACAAAACGAAGCTCAGGTCCCCTAATGTGGCTGTCTGGTATACAAATGCCTGCAGCCCTCGGGGCAAATGGAGAGAGCTAAAGACAGAGTCACAAGAAGCAGATGTCATTGCTGTTACTGAGAATTGGTTCAACAATGAAGATATGGTCCTGAGTATGCAGGAATATACCGAATATAGACAGGATAGAGTCGACGGGTTGCAAACGGGTGGAGTAATCCTAGCTGTGTGGACTACCTGTCACCAGTGGGAGTGACCACTGTACGTCACCCAATTCGCACTTGAGTTACGCGTAGATGAAGCCAATACGAGTCCCGAAATAAAACACCGTAATGTTCTACGGTACTGATTAAGCGAAATCATTACAAAATGTACAATAAAGCAAACCTCAGATATGTGGTTAAAAGCACTTAAGCAAGCGAGCCAAATGTGATGTCCAGAAAGAGCCAAACAGTCGCTCACGTTCTCTGACCACGCAAAATTCAAATGTGCCGAGCATCGAACTAACAGATAAGTAATAATGTATGGTGTTTGTGATTGAGAAATGTTAAAAGAGAAGCAACACAGATAGAGTTATGTCACCATAAATCATCACGGGTTTGGAAGGATTTTCAAACATTCAACATGAAATACACCGGCCTCCAAAATCCTTCCTGCGCTCGTCTGAGTCAAAGGGTTGGCGCAGGTCATTGATTCTTGTCTACCTATCTACCTACCTAGTCCCTGCTGTCAGTGCTTCAGACAAAGAACTCTTCAACTTTTGCCGCACTCGTTGATCTTAACCTCCGATGACTTGCACGTTCCTTCGTCGAGATCTACCTTTTGCATCAGCACGCTTGCAGCCAGTCGCACGATAACTTTATAGCAGTAAGTCAAATGAATATCATTACAGATAAAGTCTCGATTTGTAAAAAAGAAGAGGGGAATGTGGGCGATGTATTTAATGTTCAAGTTTAATGAATGAAATCATGTTCAGCATGCACGTGATTGTGTCTATGTAAATGGATGAATGTTGTAAGGACATGAGTTAAACCTTCGAGGTTAATATAATAAATTGTGTATAAATCTGATAAAAGGACACTCAGTCACGAAATGAAATGGAGAAAACGTATGGCAATGACGCGGAAGCACGTGTTCATACAGGTGGGGTCAATATCACTGAGGCGCAGTTAGTACAAGGGGCAGGTAAGTCAGTATAATACATGGCGGGTCTCTGCAACTCCATCAAGTAACGGCATGGTGGTCATCTCGTTCCAGTAAACACACTTATCAAATATCGCGCACCTGTTCACCGGCAGATGTTTTCAATTTCACTGTTCTTANTGAGTTAGTGTGGCTTTCTATGACTGCATCCAGTGGCCAGTTGTTGCGTTGTAACTTTCGTCGGTCATAAGGACATCTAGAACTTTCAGCGACCGTTCTCTATGCAACCACTTCTGTCGAGCTTGAGGGGTTGGCAGGTACTTTCTTGTCCAACGCTTCCAAAACACCCGTGCCAGGTAGTTAGCATGCTTCCAACCCGAGGTATAGCAACCACTAATAGTTTTTGGCATATGTAGACCTTCATNTTAGTGCCAGTCCTTACAGGTCACCGTTGATGACGGGTATAAGCGGTCTGTTGTCGAGTATGCTTTCGGCCTCTGCAAGATATTTTCTTAAAGTTTCATCATCCGGCGACTGTTGTTCCCATAACGCCGTCAATATTTTTCGCACCGACCGTATGAGCCGTTCCAAAACTCCTCCGCGGTGACTGCTGTAAGGTGGATTGAAGTGCCATTGGGTTCCAGATGGCGACAGTCGGTCTTGCAGGGCTCGTTTGTCTAACCGCATCAACCAGTCGCTCAACTCCTTTTGTGCACCGACGAAATTGGACCCGTTGTCGGAGAATACATTTGATGGATTACCTCGTCTACCCATGAATCTCTGCCAGGCCATAAGAAAGGAGTCGGTCGACATGCTGTGTACGGTCTCTATATGCAAATCTTGTGACTGCAGGCAGGTCATCAGGCATCCGTATCGTTTCTCCATCGACGTCTTTCGTTTCACCCATAGTGGCCAAAGTAATCCACCCCAGTTTTGGCGAAGGGCCACCAATCTAGTCGTACTCGGGAACTCGGTAATGAGGCCAGGAGTTGTTCGCTGCATGTAGCATTCCGCTGACGACAAAACAGACAGTTGTCCACGATGCGCTTCACCGTAGCTCTCCCTTTTACTATCCAAAACCGACGGCGAATCGTACTGAGTAGGTGATTTTCTCCGGCGTGACCTTCCTGCATGTGAATATGTATGGTGAATGTTTGCGTGATGTGGTGGCTGTTGGGCAAGATGATGGAATGTTTAACGTCAAAGTTCAACTCAGTTTGTCAATCTACCGCCTACACTCAGCAATTCATCTACCAATATTGGACAGATTCTTCGGAGAAAACTGCAACGTGATGCACGTCGATCGGAGTCACGATTCCCTTTGCCTAACCTCTGAAGCCCCGACTGGAAGGCTTGTGATTGAACTACGCGAAAAACATCGGCTTCTGCTGTTTTCAATTCAGTTGGAACGATGGGCCCAATATTCAAGTTGTCGCCAGGTCGGAGTCGTCTCAGGATAACCAGTTGTCGTTTGAATCTGGTCAACCAGACAACCACCCTCAGCACCTTCGTCCATCGCGAAAAACGATTCAGTTTCTGCAGTAAGATGTTGGTTGAAGCAGCGACTAACGTAACGGTCCTCTTAATCTCTAGAAACTTCGTTGCGACAGGAGAAATCTGAGTTTCGGGCCATTCGCTGGGCTGGTCCGTCAAGAAAGCTTGTTCATGTAACCATGGTTTCATGTTTTCTAAGTTCAGCACACCCCTGGAGCAGTAGTCGGCTGGATTGTTACAGGATTTTATGTGCCGCCATTGACCCAACTCCGTTTCTTCGTGAATGACAGCCAGCCGGTTGGCAACAGATGTGCTGAAGCGCGTTCGTACATTGTTATTATAGTGAAGAACTATAGCGGAATCAGTCTAGTAATTTCAGTCGAGTTAAAACATCTTTTGATCACCTTTGCTACACTCATGGCTAATACTGCTGCTGCCAGTTCTAGCCTGGGTATTGAGACTGCCTTTAGAGAGGCG